CCCAGTCCCCTCCGCACACCGTAGTCCTCAGTCCCCCCTTCACATCAGACTCTTCAGTCCCCCATCACATCAGAGTCCTCAGTCCCCTCTGCACATCAGACTCCTCAGTCCCCCTTCACATCAGACTCCTCAGTCCCCTCTTCACATCAGACTCCTCAGTCCCCCTTCACATCAGAGTCCTCAGTCCCCTCTGCACATCAGACTCCTCAGTCCCCCTTCACATCAGAGTCCTCAGTCCCCCTTCACATCAGACTCCTCAGTCTCCCCTTCACATCAGAGTCCTCAGTCCCCCTTCACATCAGACTCCTCAGTCCCCCTTTACATCAGAGTGCTCAGGCTCCACTTCATATCATAGTCTTACCATCACATTAGAAGCTGCAGCAGCATGGCAGAAGGTGGGAGTCAAAGCAGACTTGGACATAGGAGAGTTTCCATGCTTTCTGAATGGATCCCACCCTCCCTGGATTAGCGTCATTCATTTCCATGGTGCTGGAGGCTGGCCTGCACCATGGAAAGGCATGATGCTGTGGAAACATTTTGAGGCACCCCTAAGGAAGCCAGAAGATATCCCCAGGGTGCTATGGCACCATGACTGAGAAAGGTTGCCATATACTTTAGAGGGCACATGAACCCCGACAACTAGTAGGCAACGTCTCAAATCTATGGTGCCCACCGAACACCCACTGGCTCACAATTTTCATGCAGGTTAGAAAGTTTCCCCCGATCTGAATATTCTCCCCATGGTAATCGGTACCGGTACTGCCTTCCTGCTCCATTCACTCCTCTCTTCATTGACATAAACATGCTAGCTTGAACAATGTTGGGGCTCTGAGGATTTGCTGCCCTGAGGGTGGAACATGCCTCTACTTTAACTGTTCTCTTAGGACAGCCAAAATCTCAATTTCTGACATCTTCATCTTGTAACAGTTTATTATGAAAACAATGTATTGTGTATTGCACAGATCTATTTATTCCTCATTGTACAGATTTATCATTTACTAAAAGTGGTCTCAAATATTTGTATTATTGTAACTAAAACTGGAACTGCTATTATTATATTACATACATAATTAAATACTTTTGTATTCAGCCTCTTGCTCATGCTTGTTCATAGACAAGAGTGGTATCCCTCTGGTCATGTGTAAGTTCCTCCATCAGAATCCCTGCTGCAGACCTCACTAATCACCCCCAGATACCAGAGATAGTTGAGAAGTGTATTATTGTGTTTTAAGCTGTCCATACACCTTACAACCATCGCACGACTTGCGTTTTGCGATGGTTGTAAGGTCATTAAAATTTCGTACGATCTGCCCATCTTGGACAGGCAGATCGTACTTGCGATCATCGCAAGCCCTCCCCGCTGAGGGGAGGGCGTCCGATGATTGCAGTGCAGAGCGGGCAGTGTGCGGCATTCATCTTCTGACCACGCTACCAACCGCGCCGAAAATCGTACGATTTTCAGCAGGTTTTCCAGCGTGCTCGGAAAACGAAAGACGTGCAACTGCTTCTACTGTAATGCCAATACACCTGCCGATTATCGTACGATCGCGGGATCACCCACAACTATCGTACGATAATCAGCAGGTGTATTGGCACCTTTAGTGTATGTGTATATTAGGCCCCATTCACACCTACAGTATATTTCAGGTGTGATTAGAGATTCCTGTGCCAGGAACTTGCGTTTTCCTGCAGCAGGAATCCCTAATCTGCCGTTTACAAGCGGAAACTATCATAAGATAATAATTATCATAAGATTATTTAAGAGGGTGTGTTTAGGGGTGGAGTTAAGGCCGGGGCAGGGTAAGGGTTAGGTGGGGCAACTGGTGGCTAGTAACTCTTAAGGCTTGGCTAGTAGCTCAGGACTTGAAATTTTGAGCCCTGGTTTACTATATACATAAAAAAAAAAAACATTTGTAAAAAAGCCTTTTTCTCTAACTTTCATTTAAATAAATCATAGCAAATAGGACAGTACCAAAACGCACCAAATTACCAATTTTCAGAAAGTATACACTCCAAGGTGATCTCATTTGTTGCCACAATTTTTTGGAAATGAAGAAACGTATTGAGGGGGTTAAAACATGGAGCTTGGTAATGGTGCACAAGATACATTAAATGTACAGGTCATAGGCTGAGGAGGGGGTGAAGAGGTTAATGTGCCGATGTGCAGGATAAGAGAGGTGAAATGGTTACTATACAGGCAGAGCTGCCATTAGGGGGTACAGCCAATACTCATGTGAGGGGCCCGGGCATGAGTATCGGCTGATGGCCATACAAGTGACAGGGGAGGAGGTGGAGGCGGCGGATGCCAGGCCCATGCAGCGCCGGGCCCTGGTAGCGCCGATCCGGCGGCTTTGGAGGAGGCTGGGGCCCCAGCAGCGCTGCTATGTTCTGATCTCGGACCGGCCGGAAGTGACATTGCATCACTTCCGACCAGTCCGGCGGCAGAGGAGGCCAGGCCCCAGGAGCAGGTAAGAGGAGCTGGGAGGGAGATGCAGCACCAACCAGCCCACCTGAGAGTCTCAGATAGGCTGTGCAGCATCTATGGTGGGCTTTGCAAGGTCACTCTCAGGTGGGCTGCCTGGGGTCTCAGTTGGGTCCTGAGACCAGCGGTTACTAAGCCCCGAGTCCAGCGTGTTACTAAGCCCCGAGCCCAGCACATTACTAAGACCTGAGTACAGCGCGTAAAGCTGTGTAAGGGGCCCCATCATTTCTGATGGCTGCCCTGTATACAGGTCAGAGCAGCGATAGAATGGAGCTAACATAAGCAGGAGTGGAGAGGGGTTGAATGATCTGAAACATTTTTGTTTTGTTCTTTTTTTTTGCTGCTGCTCTAGCTTGTTTTTGCTAGCAGGTAAATTCTTCCCTGTCTCTGATTTAAGAGGAAGAGGAGGGCTGGGCAATGTAAACATTGCCATGCTATCACTGTGATAACCAATCATAGCTATCACAGGACACAGAGCTGCTAAAGCCACGGCTGTCCTCTG